GGAGGGAGGGAGGGAGGGAAGGCAGGAAGGAAGGAAGGAGGGGGAAGAAGAAAGAAAAAAAAAGGATGGAAGGAAGGAAAAAGGAAAGGGAGGGAAGGAGGGAGGGAAGGAAGGATTAGAGGGGAAGAGGACAGGAAGGAAGGAAGGAAGGGGAAAAAGAAAGAAAGAAAGAAAGAAAGAAAGAAAGAAAGAAAGAAAGAAAGAAAGAAAGAAAGAAAGAAAGAAAGAAAAAGAATGGAAGGAAGGAAAAAGGAAAGGGAGGGAAGGAGGGAGGGAAGGGAGGATTAGAGGGGAAGAGGACAGGAAGGAAGGAAGGAAGGAAGGAAGGAGGGGGAAGAAGAAAGAAAGAAAGGAAGGAAGGAAGGAAAAAGGAAAGGGAGGGAAGGAGGGAGGGAAGGGAGGATTAGAGGGGAAGAAGAAAGAAAAAAAGGAAGGAAGGAAGGAAAAAGGAAAGGGAGGGAAGGAGGGAGGGAAGGGAGGATTAGAGGGGAAGAGGACAGGAAGGAAGGAGGGGGAAGAAGAAAGAAAGGAAAAGAGAAAGAAAGGGTGGAAGGAAGGAAGGAAGGAAAAAGGAAAGGGAGGGAGAGAGGGAGGGAAGGAAGGATTAGAGGGGAAGAGGACAGGAAGAAAAGAAAAAGGGAAGGGAGGGAAGGACAGAGGGAGGAAAGGACGCAAGGATTAGGGGAAGGGGGAAGGAAGGAAGGAAGGAAGGAAGGGGAAGAAGAAAGAAAGAAAGAAAGAAAGAAAGAAAGAAAGAAAGAAAGAAAAAAGATGGAAGGAAGGAAGGAAAAAGGAAAGGGAGGGAAGGAAGGAGGGAGGGAGGGAAGGGAGGATTAGAGGGGAAGAGGACAGGAAGGAAGAATCAGTCAGCTGAGATCTGAAATTACAAAGAGGGAGAACGAAGGCAGAGGGAGACCTGGATTTCAGTGAATATCAGCTTGACATTGCCCTCAACCGCAGGGCCATCACTCTGAGACCCCCACCCACTTCACCAGTCCCCCCTTGCTCTCTCCCCGGCTCCCCCCAGCTGTCCTCTGCCCCCCCTCCCGCTTGCACTGACCACAGACTTGGTCTCGGCCGGCTGGAAGGCCAGGCGCAGGGGCTCGATGACCCGGCTCTCCTCCGCACGGCGCAGGGGAAGAAGCGTCCGCTTTTTCTGCACGTTCGGGGGGAGAAAAAAAAACGGGACACGGGAGCCCCCCCTGTGGCTGAACTACAAAACCCAGCAGCCTCAGCCAGCTTCCCCAGCGGGGAACGCTGCCGGAGCCTCTCATTGAGCAAGCTTTTCACCGGAGACTTCAAGGTAGACTGCTGCTGGTGCTGGAGGTTCCATTAGCCATCATGGCTAAGGGAAACATCCCTCCGACACACCCACCTACAGGGTCCTGGGGCTCCTTGCCCACCTAAGGTTTCTCCCCCCACCCACCCCAGTTTCTTTCGTACCAGCTCACCTGTTTCCGGCGCCTGGCATCGATTTGCCGGAAGTAACGGGAGATATACAGGTTATCGAAACGGATATCTTTGTTATACTTGTTGGTATAGGAATAAGCCCTTGGGAAGAGAAAGAGAGAGGTCTAGAAACTTTTCTCAGCAAGGAAAGAAAGAAAGAAAGAGAGAAAGAAAGAAAGAAAGAAAGAAAGAAAGAAAGAAAGAAAGAAAGAAAGAAAGAAAGAAAGAAAGAAAGAAAGAAAGAAAGAAAGAAAAGAATAGAATAATGAATAGAATAGAATAGAATAGAATAGAATAGAAATACAGAATAGAATAGAATAGAATAGAATAGAATAGAATAGAATAGGAATAGGAATAGGAATAGGAATAGAACATAACAGAAATAAAATAGAATAGAATAGAATAAGAAATAATAGAATAGAATAGAATAGAATAACAAAGAATAGAATAGAATAGAGAAAAATAGAATAGAATAGAATAGAATAAGAAATAATAGAATAGAATAGAATAGAATAGAAGCTGGTAGGGACCTTGGAGGTCTTCTAGTCCAGCCCCCTGCTCATGCAGGAGAACCTATACCATCTCAGACAAGTGACTGTCCAGTCTCTTCTTAAAAACCTCCAGCGATGGAGTGCCCACGATTTCTGGTGGCAAGCTGTTCCACTGCTTAATTGTCCTCACTGTCAGGAAATTTCTCCTTAATTCCAGGTTGCTTCTCTTAAGGAAGGAAGGAAGGAAGGAAGGAAGGAGATGGGTGGATAGATAGGGAAGAAAGGGAAGAGAAAAGGAAGGAAGGAGAGAGGAGGTAGGAAAGGAAGGAGATGGATGGATAGATAGGGAAGGGAGGGAGGGCGGAAGGAAGGAAGGAAGGAAGGAAGGAAAGGAAGGAAGGAAGGAAGGAGATGGGTGGATAGATAGGGAAGGAAGGGAAGAGGAAGGAAGGAAGGGAGACAGGAGGTAGGGAAGGAAGGAGATGGATGGGTGGATGGATAGATAGGGAAGGGAAAAGAAAGGGAGGGAGGAGGGTCACTAAATAAACCCCTCGAAGCCAGGGACCAGCTGTAGGGGAAGAATGGGGGAGCCCCACAGGTGAGTTGAGAGAGGAGAGGAGAAGCGGTCTCTGTCTTTTTTCCCCCCACGCTGGAATAGACTCCTTCTACACGCAGGTCACAGCCCCCCCTCCCCTGCCCTAGCCCCCACCTTCTAAGAAGCCTCCCCCCAACTCACGAGGCGAAAACCAGGATAAACATGCAGGACAGCAGCACCCGCAGCATGGTGACCGCCGTGCCCAGCTGTTTGCTGCTCTGGTACACCTGCTCGTTGACGTCGTCCACCAGGTGTTTGTGGGAGGACAGGTTGGCCCCCACCAGCATCTCCTGGCGCTCCTCCTGGGGGGAAAGAAGGAGGAAGGACTCAGCTACAAGCAGTCCTTGCCTTAACGACCACGTTGGTCGCTAAGTGAGACACTTGGGGGACTTTTGACCCATTGCGGGACCTTTCCTGCCGCTGTTCTGAAGGGGATTTCTGCAGTGGTTAAGTTAGTAACCTGGTCGTTAAGCGGATCAGGCTTCCCCATTGTCAGAAGGGGGATCCCGTGATCCCCGTCATAAGTACGAGTCTGTTGCCAAGCGTCCGAATTTTGATCACAGGACCCGTGACGGTCGTGTGGAAAACAGCCCGGAGTCCCTTTTTTAAGGCCGTCGTCATTTCGGAACGGTCACTAAACGAACCAGCTGTAAGCTGGGTGAGATACCCCAGGCGTTGCTCAGAGCGGCTGAAGCCGACATTGAGCCCTCCGAACAGACCTGGATGACAACGCTGGCTGTGAAATCTTGGTTTAGGTTTTCCACCGAGTCGTTCACCCGGTCGTACGTTTGGCCAAAGTTCCCTTCCACGGGGATCTTGTCCCGGCACCAAGTGTTCATTACTGCGGAAGAGACGGAAGGCGGGTGAAGAGATCGAGCAAGCGAGCCAGGTTGCAAATATATATATATATTTTTCAAGGGGGTGGGTGAGTCTGGGTAAGACTGTACCACTTCACAGAACTGGGGGGAGGGGAGAGGAGTAAACAGAATGGATTTCCCCTAACCCAGCGGTTCTCAACCTATGGGTCGCGACCCCATTTGGGGTCGATCGACCATTTCACGGGGGTCGCCAAGCAAGGCTGTCCGCCATTTTTTCCCCCTTTTCCGGCGGGTGCCTTACCTCCCTTGGGCTGGGCCAGCTGGTGGTCGGCCTGCTCCGTCTCTGCCGCTTGCCAGCTACGCCTCGGCCGGCGCAGGGGGCGGNGTTGTAGTCCACCCGTGCTGGCTGGGGGACTCTGGGAGTTGTAGTCCACCCGTGCTGGCTGGGGGGATTCTGGGAGTCAAACTCTGCCCCTTTTATAGCTCATAGAGGATCCAGAAGACTTCATTTTTGTAACCTCAAACCCCACAACCGATGTTGCACCCAGCATCCCATCCTTTCGGGGTGTCCCCTCCACCTTTTTGGGGGGGGGGCTTTGCATTGATGGAGGGGCAAACACGGGAGAGATGGATACTGATCAATTCCCCCCCACCTTGGGGAAGTAGAAGGCCGCGATGACCCTCCGGAGACGGAAAACGTAGACTTGCAGGAAGCATAGCACCACCAAGGCGCCTAGTGGGGTGGCGCATTTCACGTAGTCGTCCCGGCTCATCCCTCGCGGCTCTGGCAAACACTCTGGGGGGGCAGGACAAAGCAAAAAGGGGGGGGGGTCTGGGATCCTGGCTTCCTGCTTCTGGCCAGGCTGAGATCCTTCAGACAAGGAATACAAACCAGAACCGCCCAATCACGGTCACCAAACATTGTTGGTTTCTCAATCTTGGGCATTTTAAGATGGGTGGACTTCAACTCCCAGAATTCCCTAGCTAGAGTAGGAGTTGTGGTCCACCTGTGCTGGCTGAGGGATTCTGGGAGTTGTAGTCCACCTGTGCTGGCTGCGGGATTCTGGGAGTTGTAGTCCACCTGTGCTGGCTGCGGGATTCTGGGAGTTGTAGTCCACCTGTGCTGGCTGCGGGATTCTGGGAGTTGTAGTCCACCTGTGCTGGCTGCGGGATTCTGGGAGTTGTAGTCCACCTGTGCTGGCTGGAGGATTCTGGGAGTTGAAGCCCATCCATCTTAAAACTGCCCAGGTGGTAGAGCCTCCAGCAGCAGGGGAAGTCCAGCAGCAAAATGCAGGGGTCAAACAGCTGTCCATAAGCCCACCCTCGAAACGTCTGATTGGCCGAGCAGAAGCCGTCCTCTCCCACCCCTCTGGGGCCAGGCGCCCCCTTGCCCCCCCACTTACGCAGGTTGTTGGTCTCCATCACCATTTCGGAGGACGTGTTCAGGGCCCCGATGGTGCTCCGGAGGAGACGGGCCATCAGGGTTTCCCCGCCAACCTTGACTTCCAAGTGGTGGCTGCCTGCGGGGAGGGCCCGGGAAAGTTTGGTTAAGCCATTTTTTGGTTAAACCAGGGTTTCACAAGCTGGGCAGCTTGGAGAAGTGAAAGGGAGACACAGACAGGCTCGAAGTCATCCCTAATGGGGGGGATTTGAACTCGGGTTCGCCAGTGCCTAGCTTGGCACTTTGTAACACTGGAGGGACTGGGCAGATGCTTGTCTGAAATGGGATAGGGTTTCCTGCCTGAGCAGGGGGTTAGACTAGAAGACCTCCGAGGTCCCTTCCCACTCTGTTATCCTTCCTTCCTTCCTTCCTTCCTTCCTTCCTTATCACTGGAGGTTTTCAAGAAGAAATTGGACAATTATTTCTCTGAGCAGGGGGTTGGACTAGAAGACCTCCGAGGTCCCTTCCCACTCTGTTATTCTTCCTTCCTTCCTTCCTTCCTTCCTTCCTTCCTTCCTTCCTTCCTTCCTTCCTTCCTTCCTTCCGTCCGTCCTTCCTTCCTTCCTTCCTTCCTTCCTTCCTTCCTTCCTTCCTTCCTTCCTTCCTTCCTTATCNGAAGGAAGGAAGGATTAGAGGGGAAGAGGATAGGAAGGAAGGAGGGGGAAGAAGAAAGAAAGGAAAAGAGAAAGAGAAAGGGTGGAAGGAAGGAAGGAAGGAAGGAAGGAAAAAGGAAAGGGAGGGAGGGAGGGAGGGAAGGAAGGAAGGAAGGATTAGAGGGGAAGAGGACAGGATGAAAAGAAAAAGGGAAGGGAGGGAAGGAAGGACGGAGGGAGGAAAGGACGCAAGGATTAGGGGAAGGGGACAGGAAGGAAGGAAGGAAGGAAGGAAGGAAGGAAGGAAGGAAGCAAGAATCAGTCAGCTGAGATCTGAAATTACGAAGAGGGAGAACGAAGGCAGAGGGAGACCTGGATTTCAGTGAATATCAGCTTGACATTGCCCTCAACCGCAGGGCCGTCACTCTGAGACCCCCACCCACTTCACCAGTCCCCCCTTGCTCTCTCCCCGGCTCCCCCCAGCTGTCCTCTGCCCCCCCATTTGCACTGACCACAGACTTGGTCTCGGCCGGCTGGAAGGCCAGGCGCAGGGGCTCGATGACCCGGCTCTCCTCCGCACGGCGCAGGGGAAGAAGCGTCCGCTTTTTCTGCACGTTGGGGGGAGAAAAAAAAACGGGACCCGGGAGCCTCCCCTGTGGCTGAACTACAAAACCCAGCAGCCTCAGCCGGCTTCCCCAGCGGGGAACGCTGCCGGAGCCTCTCGTTGAGCAACCTTTGCACCGGAGACTTCAAGGTAGACTGCTGCTGGTGCTGGAGGTTCCATTAGCCATCATGGCTAAGGGAAACATCCCTCCGACACGCCCACCTACAGGGTCCTGGGGCTCCTTGCCCACCTAAGGTTTCTCCCCCCACCCACCCCAGTTTCTTTCGTACCAGCTCACCTGTTTCCGGCGCCTGGCATCGATTTGCCGGAAGTAACGGGAGATATACAGGTTATCGAAACGGATATCTTCGTTATACTTGTTGGTATAGGAATAAGCCCTTGGGAAGAGAAAGAGAGAGGTCCAGAAACTTTTCTCAGCAAGGAAAGAAAGAAAGAAAGAAAGAAAGAAAGAAAGAAAGAAAGAAAAGAATAGAATAATGAATAGAATAGAATAGAATAGAATAGAAATACAGAATAGAATAGAATAGAATAGAATAGAATAGAATAGAATAGAATAGAATAGAATAGAATAGAATAGGAATAGGAATAGGAATAGGAATAGGAATAGAACATAACAGAAATAAAATAGAATAGAATAGAATAAGAAATAATAGAATAGAATAGAATAGAATAACAAAGAATAGAATAGAATAGAGAAAAATAGAATAGAATAAGAAATAATAGAATAGAATAGAATAGAATAGAATAGAACTACAGAATAGAATAGAATAGAATAGAATAGAATAGAATAGAATAGAATAGAATAGAATAGAATAGAATAGAATAGAATAGAAGCTGGTAGGGACCTTGGAGGTCTTCTAGTCCAGCCCCCTGCTCGTGCAGGAGAACCTATACCATCTCAGATAAGTGACTGTCTAGCCTCTTCTTAAAAACCTCCAGTGATGGAGCGCCCACGATTTCTGGTGGCAAGCTGTTCCACTGCTTAATTGTCCTCACTGTCAGGAAATTTCTCCTTATTTCCAGGTTGCTTCTCTTAAGGAAGGAAGGAAGGAAGGAAGGAAGGAAGGAAGGAAGGAAGGAAGGAGATGGGTGGATAGATAGGGAAGGAAGGGAAGAGAAAAGGAAGGAAGGAGAGAGGAGGTAGGAAAGGAAAGAGATGGATGGATAGATAGGGAAGGGAGGGAGGGAGGGAGGGCGGAAGGAAGGAAGGAAGGAGATGGGTGGATAGATAGGGAAGGAAGGGAAGAGGAAGGAAGGAAGGAGACAGGAGGTAGGGAAGGAAGGAGATGGATGGGTGGATGGATAGATAGGGAAGGGAAAAGAAAGGGAGGGAGGGAGGGAGGAGGGTCACTAAATAAACCCCTCGAAGCCAGGGACCAGCTGTAGGGGAAGAATGGGGGAGCCCCACAGGTGAGTTGAGAGAGGAGATGAGAAGCGGTCTCTGTCTCTTTCCCACGCTGGAATAGACTCCTTCTACACGCAGGTCACAGCCCCCCCCTCCCCTGCCCTAGCCCCCACCTTCTAAGAAGGCCCCCCCCAACTCACGAGGCGAAAACCAGGATAAACATGCAGGACAGCAGCACCCGCAGCATGGTGACCGCCGTGCCCAGCTGTTTGCTGCTCTGGTACACCTGCTCGTTGACGTCGTCCACCAGGTGTTTGTGGGAGGACAGGTTGGCCCCCACCAGCATCTCCTGGCGCTCCTCCTGGGGGGAAAGAAGGAGGAAGGACTCAGCTACAGGCAGTCCTCGCCTTAACGACCACGTTGGTCGCTAAGTGAGACACTTGGGGGACTTTTGACCCATTGCGGGACCTTTCCTGCCGCTGTTCTGAAGGGGATTTCTGCAGTGGTTAAGTTAGTAACCTGGTCGTTAAGCGGATCAGGCTTCCCCATTGTCAGAAGGGGGATCCCGTGATCCCCGTCCGAATTTTGATCACGGGAACCGCGACGGTCGTGTGGAAAACAGCCCGGAGTCCCTTTTTTAAGGCCGTCGTCATTTCGGAACGGTCACTAAACGAACCAGCTGTAAGCTGGGTGAGATACCCCAGGCGTTGCTCAGAGCGGCTGAAGCCGACATTGAGCCCTCCGAACAGACCTGGATGACAACGCTGGCTGTGAAATCTTGGTTTAGGTTTTCCACCGAGTCGTTCACCCGGTCGTACGTTTGGCCAAAGTTCCCTTCCACGGGGATCTTGTCCCGGCACCAAGAGTTCATTACTGCGGAAGAGACGGAAGGCGGGTGAAGAGATCGAGCAAGCGAGCCAGGTTGCAAATATATATATATATATTTTCAAGGGGGTGGGTGAGTCTGGGTAAGACTGTACCACTTCACAGAACCGGGGGGGGGGGGAGAGGAGTAAACAGAATGGATTTCCCCTAACCCAGGGGTTCTCAACCTATGGGTCGCGACCCCATTTGGGGTCGATCGACCATTTCACGGGGGTCGCCAAGCAAGGCTGTCCGCCATTTTTCTTCCCCTTTTCCGGCGGGTGCCTTACCTCCCTTGGGCTGGGCCAGCTGGTGGTCGGCCTGCTCCGTCTCTGCCGCTTGCCGGCTACGCCTCGGCCGGCGCAGGGGGCGGAACCACGCATGCGCGGCGCTCCCGGGCAGGGAAAGTCCTCGACTTACGACCGGTTGGGTAGTCCTCGACTTACGACCGGTTGGGTAGTCCTCGACTTACGACCGGTTTAGTCCTCGACTTACAACCGGTTGGGGGTCGCCGCATTAAAAAGGTTGAGAACCACTGCCCTAACCCTAACCCTAACCGCCATTTCCAATGTCCTGGCAGGAAGAAAGCTAGCGTTTCAAGGTGACGGAATCCCGCCGAGTCTTTCCTTGCAAGGCTAACTTTCTCCCTGCGGGGA